CAGGGCTGCGTTCGTCCCGTTGTGTGGGCCGAGGTGAGGTCCAGAGCTAAAGCTCCGCCATCCCCGTGCAGCTTTCGCCAGGAGACGCCTTTGCGGGGACTCTGGATGCTCTTTGCCTTCAGCGCTTTCATGGTTGGCTTGTTGTGAAAGTCCTTAACGCACGAAGCCGATTTCAGAAGTGGTCTGTATGGAAGGGGGGCGTGTCTGTGACATGAATTGTGTCCCGGACATGAATCCCCATGTCCTCGATTCATAAGGCTCTAATAGGAGCTGTAAACATGGCATTTTGGACAGTCCACAGACCTTTAATGCCTTTGGAATTGGAATGCAAATTGTGCATGGCATGTTTAAGTACCTGTGTGGCATTTAGTAAGTTCCTCAAAGAGGAATGCGAATGCAAAAAAATCTATGCTTCACATCCTGGCCTCTGAGGAAACATGATGCAGCAAGAAATTGTTGCTTGGAGACATGTTCTTCCCAGCATCTTGTATGATTTGCCATATCATGCCAGTGGCAGGTATTTAAAATAGTTTTCTTTCAAATGATAGTCACATACTTCTTCCTCTAGTACCGAGAATTATGTTTTTCATTTAAAAAACCAAACTCGCATAAAGCCAAACAGCAAACAAGCAGCTTTGTTGGCTAATAAGGTATTAATCTGTTCAGGATCTTTGTGTGAAACTCTTTATTGTCACATAACAGGTGTATATATAATTTCTTTCACTTTGTATGTTACTTGTTTTGTAGATTGAAACTGCAATACTTAATCTTAAACCTGCAGCAATGGGTAGAACCTACTTTGTTGAGGAAGCAGTTGGGCAGTATCTTTCAGACCTCAGCACAAAATTAAAGCCTTATGTCACCGGCCTGTTAATAGGGCAGGTAAGTGTGGAATATTTTAAGTCTGTTCCATTCGTTAATAAGGAGAAAACCCCCTTGGCCTTAATCATCTGGGATAAGTCCATTAACATGGTGAGGCACTGGAACAGGTTGCCTAAAGAAGCTGTGGATGCCCCATCCCTGGAAGTGTTCAAGGCCAGGCTGGATGTGGCTTTGAGCAACGTGGTTTAGTGGAAGGTGTCCCTGCCTATGGCAGGGGGGTTGGAACTAGATGATCTTTAAGGTCCCTTCCAACCCAAACCGTTCTGTGATTGTATGAACATCACCTTGAGCTTGTATGGTGCAGGAGGGTGGTAATATGACCAGAAAGGTGGGACTTCTGTAAAGGGTTTATGTTGTTAACCAACTACTCGAGTCTTTTAAAATTGTTTTGTGAAAGATACGACATACAGAAAAGAAATTAAAACTTTAAAGAGAAAAGTTACCACTAAACAAGGCTTCAAGGCAAAGTCTTATTCATGAAGCAATTATTTTGTAACATCACTGTGGAGTTTAGCGATACCTACTGTAAAGCAGACCTTACAGTTACTGTATTACACAGTATGTTCTCAGACTTGATATCAACTTCATGGTATATTTGCTTATGTTGATGTTTTTGAAAGTGTTCCCCACAAAGAGACTACGTAATTCGGGCTGTTCGAACACCTCCGAAGGAAGAGCAGAAGGAAGACGGCATCAGTCCTTCAAAACTGGCGTCCATTGATGAAGAGTGGATAACTACACACGCCACTCAGGTAGCACAGTATGACTTAATGGAGGGTGTGGGAGGAACAGAAAGAAGATAGGACTTAGAAAAACTCTCTCATTGCTTCCTTAATGTCAAGCCTTTTTATCCAAGTAGAAGAACCTTGGTAACCACTCTAGGTTTTCAAAGTTTATGATGAAACAGAAAATTGGTAGGACTGAAGCGAGAAAATTTGTAAGGTGCTGTGTTCCTACATTTCAGAGGAACTTAAAAGTGAAGAAGTCCTACGTATTTCATTTCTGCTCTTGATGTGTCCCTGTCTCTAGAAATTTTTGATACATCAAGTTACGTGGTTGCTAGATCTTTGATTCCTATTTATATATGTTCATTTCTATTTTTAAGGTTTCTAGAATGCTTCCTGGAGGCTTATTAGTTCTTGGTGTGTTTATTATTGCAACTCCGGAATTGTCAAAAGATAGTCAAAGTGCTTTGCGCAAGGTGAGTATGCTTCCTGGCGGAAAGGCAGGAATATCTTTTAGGTGTTAGCTGAATAATTTGCTGTCAGTGTCTCGAGTCTATATTGTTTTGTTGCTTTATTTCTAAAAGCTCAAATGTTCTGGCTTGAGGTATGGTTTTGAGACTGAAACCTCAGAAATCACTGTCCTGTGGGACTGTATAACAGCTTGTATTTGCTAACTTTCTTGTGATGATTATAACTGCAATAATAAATGTTACTGTATTTACTGAAAGTGGACATTCTAGTTTAAGGAAAACATCTTCAAGGTTTCTGTTAAACTAAATCCTTGTGGCACATTGTTAGCAGTGGTAGTATGTTAGCTTTTTTGTCTGAATGATTTGTTCAGATTAGAGATGTTTACTGTGGTGAAATCTCTATAGTTCTGGTTCATTTAAAAGGAATATCTGCGATAGAACTAGTAGTATTTGACTTAGGTGTGTGGGGTTATATTTAAAAACTACTTAGAACATGCTACTGTCTGATAGACTTAAAATGCATTTTTGTTACAGTATTGGGGCATCTAGTGCCACTTTTATTTTGTGTTCTGTAAATGTAGGTTCATTTTATCGTTTTAATCAGGTAAGCATGATAAACAATTTAAACATGAGTATGGTTTGAAGCCTAATGTCCAAGATTCAGTTTTATTACTGCAGTTAGTAGCCAACAGAAAAAGGTGAGCTGTGTCCTGGTAATCAGTGATTCCTGAATTAATTCTTTTTTTTCTCTTGAATTAGCTATTTTGCACAGCTGTCTTTCTGGATCCTCAGCAAATAGGCTTAGAGCTGTAATATTTGTGTAGGGAGAAAAACATACAGGTTGAATGTGTGTTGCTTGGTTCAGTTTATAAGGAATTTTATTAAGCTTTCACAAGCAACTTTCTCTTTGGAGTAGTTGCCTATGAAACTTTGTGAATGTTCTTTTAACATGACATTTTGGTGACTTGTGAGCCATATTTCCTGTTTATACTTGGATATCACTTGGATATACTTGGATATCACTTGGACTTAAAACTTCAGTGCAGTACTGTTTTCCAGAAATTATAATGCGTTATTTTTGTGGAAAAATCCATAATGCTTTCTTCATCTTTAGCTAATCTTCTCAATGGAAAAGTCCTTGACTAAAAGAAGGCTCTGGAAACCCGCTGAGGAGGAGGTCTCAGACAGAGCAGCTCTTCAAATTTGTTCTGCTACAAAGAAGTATCCTTTATGAGCAAAGTTTATGGATTGAGACTGCTGCCCTCAACCTTGTTCCTGTAGTTATTTATGAATAAATGATAACTTGGGAGGGAAAAGTTGTCTGAGTTCAGGTAGGTATAGATCAGTAAGTTGAAATGGAGGTTTCTGATTAGCCATGAGTGAGGCTATTCACCCTCTTATCCTTGCAAAATTTCCATCATATTTTACTGTTAGGTTTGTGTGTGGTGCCTTCCCCAGTCGGTTTTGATTTGCATAAATCGAGGAAAACGTGTGAAATACTGTATAGGTTCTTCCTGCTGTTACCAATTATGCGTAAATGAAATTGGGGAAATGGCAGGCATGTGGAACCTGTACTAGTGCTGCAGGAGAGTGCTAGGTCTGTTGATAGTAAAGTAATACAAGAGAAAGCAAGGCTCTTCCTTAGAGAGTTGAGAGAGATGAGGATAATTTGAAAATTGGTGCACTGGTGGTTCTCCCTGTAGATACCTATTGATCTTAATATATTTGTAAGAGATGGGACAGCATCACTATTGTAGTTGAAGTTTACACTAAAAGGTTTTTCCACTTTTTTACATCAACGAAAGGTGAGAACTTTCTTCAGAGCATAAATTAGCTCAACAAAGAAGTTAAGGACCCATTTAGTTGTCAATTGTTCTTACTCAGATTTTTTGCTTTTCATTGGATCGTTTTCTTTAAGTAGCAAAGAGTAGTTTGCCGAACCTATGATGTACAAGATTCAAAGGTAAGTTCGTCACCCTGTGTGTCAGGTACAGCTTTTAATGCGTGACAAGTAATGTTTAAAAACTAACAAAATATAAATCTCTCTTTGAGTTATACAGTATTGATGCTTTATTGCCTATTTCTGCTCTCAGAGTTCAGCTAAACCAGCAGATTGGAAATATCAGAGTGCTCTGTCTGCTTCCTGGTTAGCTTTGGACTGCACAGTAAATGTTAATATTCACATTCCACTTCTTGCTACTTCACTGAACCATGACTTGGAGAAGAATACCAAGGTAACTAACCAGTTGCACTGGTTGTGTTGTTGGTCCCTACACTCTTGATTCTGTTGAATCCCTCTCATATTTGAGAGAAAGATTTGAATAGTGTGAGCAGAACTAATCAGCAGAGAATGTTTGGCAGTTATTCCTCTTTTAAATGTAATTTGAAGTTGTTACGAAGCATTCATAGTAGAAAAAATGCAGGTAGCTTTTTCATCTGCTGTGCTTAGTGTTGGCAGTTTCCTTTGCTCAGAATTATTTACCAATTGTCATGATTTTTCTACCTGAAATCTCTTCTGATTCACCTAGTGAAAGGTTACATCCAATTAGAACAGGGGTATGGGGTGCTTTTAAGATGAATTGACTTCCAGTAGGCTGCATCCCTCGCTACAGAAATCAAATCCCTGGGGTAGGACTTAGGAAATACGTATTTTAAAGGTGTTTAATGGATATATTCTGAACCTGGTGATTTTAAGATTCAGCTTTGGAAAGATATAGACACATTTTTTTGGGCTTTTAACTCTTGCAGAGTGACTGTTGAAACATATATTTCTATAATTTTCAGCATGATACTGTCCAACTCTTACAGTGAAATTATCTTTTACAAGATTTTTGTGTTTTCACTTTTTTAAAGAATGGATTAAATCGATGGTCAAAACAAATAGAAGACAGTGTCTTTCTGATCAATGGCCAAGTTAAAGATGATGATACAGAACTACTGGAAGGGCAGGTGAGTACCCAACAACAAGGAATTGAACTCTAACAGATGTGTAGTTAGAACCTCCAGTGTGATAAAGCATTGGCTGAGCCATCTTCTGTACAACATTTGATCTCACTAGCCTATTTCAGGTAACTAATACGCAGGACTGCTTGTGTTGCCATCTTCATTGCTGCAAACTGTCTCTTCTTCCGCTCCAACACAATAGTTTTATGTGAAGTCTGACTAAAAATTTTTCTGTATGCTCTCTCCTCATTAAGGAACATGAGTAAGGTGTGAATGTAGGTGATGAGATTTCCAAGACGTATTATGTCTAAATGCTTAACAAAGAGTGGAAACACGTTGTTTGGCCGATGCATTCATCTTTCCTTTAGTTTTGTAATTATATTCTCATGGCTGATTTCTGTATGCCATTTTTCTCTTTTGAAAGCTATAAACTACAGCATATTTATACCATGGTGAGGAGTGTTTGATTGGGAGATTTTTTTTTTTCCTGTTTCATGACACGCACAAAATTCTTCTTTCCCCTCAGAAAAAGTTAAGAGGAAATACTCAATCCAGCACTCAGTTTTCTGATGTCAAAGTTCTGACACAGCTGGTAAGTATTTAGTGGTTTATAAAGTATAACCCCTCTGTTTTCTTCTAAAATAGAATAAAATTAAAAAATCCAAATTATTGTCTAGAAATGCACCTTACTTTGTCCTAAGACTCTTTATTCCCCTGTGGATATTGATTGTGAAACTGTGGAGAGGTCTGCATATTTTGTGTCTTTGGAAATTCTGCTGCTGCGATAACTGCGTTGTCAAAGAATTGCACGGTACAGCGACAAGGAAAATCTGAAAAATTGGTTATAAAAATGAAATCCCATGAATTAATCCATTTGATAGCATCACCTGTATGCACCTGTGAACGTTGATTTTGAGGTGACTTTGCATCGTTCTGAAGTTCAGAATCACCCTCACGCTTCAACTTGCCATGGCTAGCTATGGACATTCACTTGAATGCTTTTGTCAGAAGCGCAGTCACTAGTTTTGGATTAAGGTACAGATCCTGTGAACTGAATCATCTGGAGCTGTTGGGTCTGTGTCAGGAATTTCCTCTCTACCAGAGGTTGTGCTGACTTGAACCCTGAATTACATGGCCGAGCCTAGGTCCTGAGGTCCAAATGTTATGGCATTGTTTTGTAGGCTTCTTGCACAGCACAGGCCACCCTGTTTTGTCAGGTAGTTCCTGGTTTCTCTAAAGTTATATTTAGCTAAAATTTTAGGAATGCATAAAATGCTTTTTTCAAGATCTGATGAGTATCTCGGCTTCTGTTGTTACAGTGGTTAATTGCCTCAGAGAAAGGAAAGCTTTTTATTTTGGCAGAAGTAGTTTATGCAAGTTGTGTGGAAGTTACGCATCCCTGTGTTTCTAGGTGTTGTCTTAGAGTCCTTTGTAATATGCACTCACTGTTTTGGTAATTAGGGTGGATGCTTCTAGGCAACAGTTTGATACAGTTCTAAATGCGACCACGTTTATAATTCGGTACTGACTGATGGGATGACTCTCAGGATACCATAAGTTAAGGTGACTATATAGTAAACCTACAATCTTCATTGTTTAAAAAAAAGAATCTTAAAAATACTTATATGTTGCAATACTACTATTAGCCACAAGTCACTTGCTTGGAAAGTTTTAGAAGCCTTATAGGCACAAATATTTAATTCACAAGAAATGGAACGTCTGGAAAAGTGAGAGATTTTCATTCTTAACTAACAAAACTAATAAAAAATAGTATTAGAGGTATAAATTATGAGGGGAAATCAGGTTATATGTAAACATGTTAATGTATGCTATTAATCTCCTAGTTCTGTTTTTCATTACTCATGCTGCAAGTACCTTGGTAACAAGATAAACTGAAACGTTTATTTTTTCAGTCCCAGGGTTCAAGTCTTAGATCAACAGCTACAGTTCAGGTCTGCAGTGGTTCCATAAATCTCAAAGGTGCTGTGAAATGCCGAGCCTACATACATAACAACAAGCCAAAAGTTAAAGAAGCTATTCAGGTAGTCAAAAGGTGTTTCATCAGAAACATTTTTCTGAAATACATGAAACTTGTCAGACTTTTTTTTTTTTTTCCCCAAAATGTCATGGACTAAACTGTGTTCAAAATGTTCATCTCCTTGCACATAGGGATTGTTTTAGAAATTATCTGTGTGTGGTAGATTCATTTTCAATTCTAGCAGATGGCTCTCCTGTTGCTAATGTTCTCTGGTGAATCTTTGCACAAATTGTCAAAGTGGTTAGGCTTTGAAGAATTTTCTTAAGAAAAGGTTACAGACTTACACTTTTGTATGTGTGGAGGGGAAAAATACAGATTTATTTGTTCTGAGAAACCTCCTCCACACTTATTGAGTCAATGCCTTGTGATTATTTTTTTGTTTGCTTTAATTGTAGTGTCTAGCAGTTGTCAATTTTAACAATTAATTCTTTTGATATTGGCTTCTCTTTATTGGACTTCTAAAAATTCCCTTTAGATTTTTTATTTTTTGGGAATAACTGTTCTTTCAACATGGGTTAAACCTGTAAGGGTCTTATTTTGTTGTTTCTTAAGAGTCAAAAGCTTTGCAAATGGCTTTTCTAGTACTGATGTTTTTGCTTTGTCCTCACAGGCTTTGAAAAGAGACATCATAAACACATTGAGTGATCGGTGTGAACTACTATTTGAAGATCTGATTATAAATGAAGGACCTCACAAAAAAAGTAGGAATTAAAACAAACAAACAAACAAACCCGAACAGCTTATGTTTGTAGTGAATTTTGGTGGTTTTAGAAAATTCTGCTGGATTGCATTAGCTTGAACTTAACATAGGACCATGCAGTGGCCATAATGCAATGCAAATTGATTTAATGTAAACAAAACTTTCTATCATGATTGTATTAAAAACTAAGGGGGTTTATGCTGAGACCAGGTGGTCTAGGTCATGTGGGGGGGATTCTTTAAACTTCTTTGAGTCAGTGCCATGGTATCAAGATATCTTCTTGTTGTCATGTTGGTTTTTGGGGGTTTTTTGTGCGTGGTGTTTTTTTTTTTTTTTAAAAACCAAATATTATTAACTAACTGAAATAGCATTTTGAAGATCTCCTATCAAGGAAAGTCTTTTAAAAGATACTGTCTTTGGTAGTGATTTTAGAAAAAAATGAAAAAAAAGGTAACAGGTTCACTGTGTAAGGAAAAACGATTCAGAATTGCCATTTAATTTAGGGGAACGTGTTTCGTTTTGGAGTTAGCCAGCTTTATCCAACCTGCATGATTTAGACTTTTCAGTTGCATGCAGTTTTTATTTTCTTCATTAGGTGGCACCCGTACTTTGTGGCTTTAAGCATGGCATAAAGCAGCCGAGTGTTTGCAGACCTTTGTGGTGTTGAAATCATACGCTGTTCTGTGTTTGCTCTTATCTGCAGTCTTTCCCAGAGTTCTTTTGCTAGTCATTCTAAACATGACAAAAGATCTGTTTAACATTTTACGGTCTGTTTTGGAGCTGTCTCAGCTATTTCTGCAGAGACTAATGTAAGAACATAAATCGATATAATTGCAGCAAAAACTTCCAGAGAATAGTAACAGCTAAACAAGCCATGCCTGAAAACAGGGTTTATACATGGAAACCTTGACCAGTTCTTTTGCAATAGCTTTATCTTACGGTCAGAGATTAACAAGGAATCTTATCATCACTGGCAAGGCTTTTATTTGGGTGGTATTTTTTTCCCTCTTTTCTTTTAGATTTTGAGAGGGAATATCATGTTTTACCTCAAAGACTGTTTGTCCCTGTTGCTGGATCAAGTGTGATGCTCAGTGATTATAAGTTTGGTGATGAGGCCACTGGAGAAATTCAGGAACGTTTTGTTGAGATGTTGGATCAATCTGTGCAAGCTGAAGATATCCATATAGCAGAGGAAATGAACACAGGTAAATACAGTATCTGAGAACCAGGATGGACTACATCATGGATTACGAAAATGTTGACTAATGGCATTAGACCAGTTATATCCAGATATGGATATGCTTAAAGTTGGCTTACTTCATATCAAGCTCTAAAGGCTTATATCAGTCTAATTACAGTTTAAATATATTTGTGGAAAGGTAGAGGTTCTTACAGTTTCTGTATTTGGCTTGTAACAGACCTCTCGTTCTTCTCTCAAATACTTGACTCTGTATTATCTGTGCAACCATGGTTGCAGCTCATGAACCGTGGTAGATACATAAATACGTGGTTAAACAAGGTTTGCATACGTCACTCTGCACATGAATTATAGGTGGTTCCCTATTGGCAAATAAACTGTAAGAAAAACCTTTAAAACTTTATATTCCGGTTACTTCTTCAGTAGTTCAGGTTTTTTTAGGACTGGGTAGTTCTAATACTACTTAGAATAAGTAAGGAAAAGCAGTTGAGTGCTTTAGTCAAACCTACTGTTTTTTCACTAAATAATGAAAACGTACATTTAAAATGCTGTTAACGAAAGATACATACGTATAGTCGAATGTGCCTTTAAGGAAGTTCTCATGCTAAAACCTGGCTTTTTCAGAAATACAAAGTACCTTGTTTTGTTCTGAGTGTGTTAATCTATGTATCAGATGCAGTGCCCAAAACTGAAGTTTTGTGATTCACCTGAAATCAGAAGATAATTGAGTGCTTTTCATTTTCTACTGGATGTCTTAAGGTTATGATCTAATTATGAGACTTATATTCCTTTTGATACAGGTATTTTGTGATGATCTAGTTACTGACTTCCTTTTTTTCTTAATAGGTCTGGTTTATGTTGTCTCCTGTTGTGGTGTGGGTTCCCTCCCCCCCCCCCCCCAACTCTGATTTCCATGTAGGAATCAAATATGTAGTTGAAATGCATCTGATAATACTTCCTATGATCTTATGGAAGAGATTTATTTTCTCGCCTTGTTTCCCACATCAACATGAATATGAACTGCAGGTTACATTTTTAAAAATTTAAATTATTAAAAACCCCACTAATTGTCATATAAGACCTGTGAACACTTTGATTGATGTTGCTATTTAGGGACAAAAATGCTAAATGCAACCATGAGCTTACTGTGTAGGGTGAAGTGTGATTAGTGATTTTCTACTTGACCTACTTGTTTACTTGGAGGTTTTTTTGAGTTTCTTAATTGCAGAGCTAAACATAAATTCTTATGTCTTTCTAAATTAATCAGTTTTCCCCAGGCTTTAACTAAACCTGTTAGCTGTGAAAATGACTCATTACCTTGAGAAGTAAAAGATGTACACAGCTCAAGAACCTCAAGAAGAACAGGAAAGCCAATAAAAATCTGTCTTGCATTATAAGAGCAACTTTAATAATCTTAAAGCTAATTATTACTGAGCTTTAAGGAATTAGTATAACTTAGTGAAGCAAATAATATTGTTGTAGCAGTGGAGATAGGTGTGGGAGGGAGAGAGAAGATGATTCATTTTAGCTTTATTGCTTATGTAAGGATGTGTGATCTGGAGATGGGAAGAAAGCACGGGAAGACTAACAGCTATGCATCACGAAGATTTGATGCCAATAATGCGTGTAAAACGATGTCCAGGTAGCTGACAAATGAGTCTGTGTGTTCTTGTAGCTTGCTGGTTATAGAGTTACGTGGGGGGGATTTATTTTCATTTTTTTAAAAGGCAAAGTGCATAGCAGAGGAGAATGAAGAGGATTTCAGAAAAAATTAAGAGACTGGACTTGTCCTAGTGAACACTGCAGAGTGTGTCCATAGAATGGGTTCTGTTAATAGTGATGATAGTAATAATGCTATCAGTGCAACAGTGTTTAATTCTGATCATTGTTATGGCATCATTAACTTGTGATTCCTTAAGATCATGATTTGTTTATACTTTTTTTTTAATTAACACCAGGCAGGCCATTTTAGAAATTAAATGCATTAACTGTGCGAGAAAAGTCGGCTGCCTTGTAAGAAAATGCATGAATTTTGCAATTTGAATTTATTGATACTTCGGTATGAAGTGTCTAATTATTGCTGTAAACACATTTTTGTGACGTAATGAGGGTTTGGGCTTTCTTTCTGTAAAGGCTTTTTCAATGCATCATTGCAATTTGGGTAGCATTTGTTGTTTCTCAAAGCTTAGTGCTGTCTTTAATAGTCAGTATTCAGTAATGGTATAAAAATTGGTTTGAAGTGAATGTTACCATCAGCCTTTCTGTTTGTATCAAAATTCCTGTGGTCTTAGGCAGCAACCTCGAATTCACAGGACATGCTATCCATAGTGAAGTTCTGCAGAAAGCTGGCTGATTAAAAGGAATTGTTTAAAATTCAAGAACATGAGCAGGCTTTTCAAATAACTTTTTTTTTCTTGTTGCTTTTTCAAATGCGCACTTGAGAAGAAGAGGATCTAATCACTATAGCCAAAAGATTTATTATTAAGCAGCTTTTAGTCAAAACATATGAAATAAAAGTATTCTGAGAAGGTCAGATTTATGTCCTTACTTAGCACGGGCTCTGCTGCTGTCTCCTACTGTTTTATTCTCTTGCTTTCTTGTACAGCTCTCTAGTGAGGTCACTAATGGGTCATGCTTTAAAATCATTACATGGAAAATAGAAAGTAAAAACTGACCTATTTATAACTGGAAGATATAAACAGCTCTAACACTGTAGTTTCAAGGTATTTAGTGCTTTAAATGCAGAGCTTTCAATTGCTTGTATTATTACTGGCTTTACAAAATCCCTCTTCCCCCTTGGTGCAAGGGGTGATGGGTTAAATACCCTGAGTGGATAAACATAAATAAGACTTCAGTAGTGGTAATCACTTCCCCATCTTTGTTAGTAAATTGAAGAATTAAGTGTTCATATAATTGCTGCTAGAAAGCATCTGCTTTTGAAAACTCTGATATATACTACAGCTGATTCAAATGCAAGTCTTCTTAATGTCATAAATGCCTTTGGTAACTAAATAGCACAAGGGGTGTCTCTCTTTTTCTTCTATCCTTTCTTTTGTTTGGTGCCTTGATGTGCAACTTCAAAAGTTACCTTCAGAAAGTGTAATGGTTCTTATGAAGGTGCAAAGAAACAAAGTTAGAGGGCACAAACTATCCTACTTGCGCATCAGAACTAAAGCAGAAAGAAGCCTGCTGGATCTAGGCTTCAAAGGCGACCCGAGAAGTATAGTCAGCTTCTATAAAGTCACACGTTATTTTAGGGAATTGAAAACTCTGTTAAGTAGTTTGTAGAGAATGTGGTACTCTTACTGTGCTAGTTAAAATACTTAAATGGCTATCTCACGACAATTAATAATTCATTTACTCCAGTTGAAGATTTTTGATCATGTTCTAGGCAGATGAGGCTGCGTTTTCCTGTGCATAATAAAAATAATAATGAAACTATAGCATCACCGTAGACCAGTGAGATGTTTGATCATTTCTCTTCAAAAAAAATACCACTTGCATTGAAATTCTGTGTCCTTATTTTTATTTTACATGTATGTGCAGCTTGCAGAAAGATCTCAAAGCAATGTTTATACTTAGTGTATGCATGTGTGTATATCTGGGATCCCCATCATAAGGATATCGACTGGTTGTAGCGAGTCCAGAGGAGGCCACGAAGATGCTCCAAGGGCTGGAGCCCCTCTGCTACGGGGACAGGCTGAGAGAGTTGGGCTTGTTCAGCCTGGAGAAGAGAAGGCTCCGGGGAGACCTTATAGCACCTTCCAGTGCCTGAAGGGGCTACAAGGAAGCTGGGGGGGACTTTTTACAAGGGCCTGTAGTGACAGGACAAGGGGTAACGGGTTTAAATTGAAAGTGAGGAGCTTTAGATTGGATATCAGGAATAAGTTCTTCCCAGAGAGGGTGGGGAGGCACTGGCACAGGTTGCCCAGAGAAGCTGCGGATGCCCCATCCCTGGAAGTGTTCAAGGCCAGGCGGGATGAGGCTTGGAGCAACCTGGTCTAGTGGAAGGGGTCCCTGCCCATGGCAGGGGGGGTGGAACTGGATGGTCTTTAAGGTCCCTTCCAACCCAAACCATTCTGTGATTCTATCTGTACTTCTTGCTATCCTGTTAAGTTTCAGACAGTTAATTGCCCTGGTGTAGTACATCCTATGCTGTCAGTGGGCTCAGGGATAAAAAAATTTCTGAAGAGAGCTCCTAAATATCTAGTTTGAGTGCTTTTGTGTAACAAAAGATCTTGTGCAAGTTTAACCCGAAGATTTTGAAGACAATCGTGCACATGACTCATTTTAGATGTCAGAAATGATCTTTCTGATCACACATCTAGATTATACATTTCCCCCATAGCTAATGATATAATAGAGAAAGTACTTTTCCATGAATCATTTTCATATGAACACGCAAGGGATGTGCCTTATTACTCAACTACATAACTTGTAATCTGTAAGTGATTGACAACCACAGTCTGGACTGCTAAAACTTGATATTTGGTGCTGCTATGAGGTTTATCTTCATCTTCTGAATAAGAACAATTTGTTAGTCTTTTTTTCTTATCTCTGCATGCTGATTCTGTTCTTTCCAAAGACATCCAGCTCTCGCCGCAATAGCACACATGCTTTCTCTTGCTGTTTACTTGCCCAGAAGATGTCTGTAATAGTCGCTTTTGAATTATAACTGAAACTTCTGGCAAGTGATGCCTTGGCAAACTGTTCTGGGAACTGGAAAACAAATTGAAGACCTTTGGCCCACGACCATCAAGTAGCCTTATCATGGAACTGCACAGTCCAAAGCATGCTTGCTCTCGGAGGGACAAACGAACAAGTTCAGCTAAAGGACTCAAGATTAATCGCCTTCTTTCTTTCCACCCCCTCTCTAACAAGCTGGATATAGCCAAGTGATTAGGGAAATCTTTGGAAAGGAAACAGATATGGGTTTGAATCCCATCAGTCTGTAAATAGTCACGGTGCTCTCACATCCTGGCTGAGCAGTCTAAGGATTTAGTAATTGTTCCAAAGGGGAGTGTGTCCTCTATGCCTGCTTTGAAAGTTTATTTTTAAGAGATCTTCAAAAAGGAATTTCTGTGTTTTGAAAAAAAAGCATCTATAGCTGTTGGGTAGTACTCTTTCAGTGTCAGTGGGATTTGCGTGTAGCCTAAACTCTGCACCAATGACTTTGAAGGGGAAACTTTTGTCTTGGAAGGTATTAATGGTTCATTTTGGTGATTCCCTCTCAGTAGTCAAATTTCCCCAAGGTTATGTATGGGGGTTGGGTATGCTACCCTGGAAGGAAGATGTGGAAAATGAGTTTTGAAAGAAGAACTTCTTCCCAAATCTGTTTTTCCTCTTTATTTTTACTCTTGCTGCTATACAGTATAATTTAGTACTGTACTGTTGCTACTCTACCATTTTTATGGTGACAGACTGTTTCTGTTTCTACCATAAATGTACTTTATAATGTTGTTATGAAGTTCTTAGCCTTTTGCATTCATTTGACTACAAAACACAACTGTTGGCTTTTTACCTGGTGTTTACTTCTTCACTTCATTTCCATGCAGTTGATATTTGTCCAATTACTGACAACATGGATGACACACACCAAAACCAACTGACAAAAACAACGTTGCTGTTGAAACTTCAACAGAATATGGGTACGTTACTTCCCTGATTTTGCTATGGCAATCCAGAAACTATAATGGGCACTTTCAGTACTGCTAGGTTCCACAGCATTATTAATAAACTAGGGAGATTAATAAGAAAGTCTTAATCTCTGCTGCTAACTTAATAAGATAGCCTTTCTGATATGAATCCCCCTTCTAGGGTTGTGGGTACAGGGTGTTTCTGGGTAAGAAAAAGCCACAGTGTGCTGTTGGAACAAAACCAGTGTTTGCATTTGTTCAGCCTGCAAGTCAGTACAAAAGCCTCATGTAACTTTATTTCTTTTTTTGGAGAGCCACCAATTCTATAATTCTGTACTTTAAAAAAATAACACAGTGGAGTGGCTTTCTCAAGTAGGCATCCATAAATCTGCTACTGACTCACTGATCTTCTTCCGAAGCTGACAAATGCATATGAGCTTGGGCACTAATTGTCAGCCTCAATAATTCAGGGAACCCCTGCCACTGAATTCTTTCAAAGACAACTTCTCCATGATACTCCTTCATCCAGTTCTCCTAAATTTGCACTTAGTACAGTACTCTTTGTTGCCAGCTTTGAATGTCCTTTAATATTAAATTATAGTTTTATATTTATTCTTAGAACATGGTAACTGGAAAATTAAGGAGTAGTAGCAGTAAATGTCTTTGCTTTGGATGCAAAAATGTTTTCCCCTGAATCAGTCAGGTGTTCAGGTTTTTTGTGCGTCGCCTTCTCAGCTGCATCAGTGCCAAGCATGTTGATCAATAGGAAAATTACTATAGTGCTACAGACTGACAGAGTAGATGTAGTGCCACGCAGAATAGAAACAACGTAATAGCTTTTCTTTCTGAAAGCTTAACATTTTTGTTATTCTTCTTAGTCTGATTCTTAGAATTAAGCCATAGTGCAGTCACTGCATTATTTTATGGGCCAGAGCATAGGTACCATAGAAATACGCAGTCAACTGAATTTCTGGAAGGGTTCTGCTCTGAATAGAAACGTCACGTGGAGCTTTTGTAATTTAATGATCTGATACTGTAGCTTTTGATTCAGGCTTAGCAGTGGTAGATGGTTTTTGGGGTGACTTACTGTTCTCCTCCTGCTTGACCCTGCCCTCCACACCCTAGCTGCTGATGACTGTGCTGCCCTTGCCACTCACCAAATGCCTTTCCTTTGTTATTTTAGGTGTGGTAATAGCAGCTGCTGTCGCAGTCTTTGCATCAATCTTCTCTTTCAATTACTTCAGTGATTAAACCCAAGCCACCGGAGCTTCGTGGAAGTATTGGCCAGTTACAAGACGGAAACATCTGGGTTTAATATTTGTTAGTAGTTAAGAATTGTTGCCTGAATACAACCAGTTAGATGTGCAATACAGATTGTAATGATAGGTTCAGTTACTTTGCTCCAGCATGCACTTACTCTCTCAAGTAGAACCATCTGGTTACAGTATCAAGTAGAAGGCAAATCAAGTTTTCAAGAAACTAACTGTTGCTCTGTATAAATGAGTATTAGTATTATTTTCTAGAAAGGTTCCTTAAACAAATATAGAACCATAATTTTCTTCCTACTTGCTGTTTTAATGCAAAATGTTAATACTAGTGTTTTTCAGGCTATTGGTAAGATAAGCATAGTTACCTAGTATGACAGTTCATACTTTAAGGTTTCCTTTACTAAAAGAAATCTCATCTTAATTGGGGAAAAATTAAATTTAATGAAGGCAACATTTCACTGTAATATTGCTCAACTAGCATAATAGGTAAACAAATAGTTTCTAATAGTTTAAATACTAGGCCAATATAGCCTGTAAACAACTTAGTTCAAGACCTGGAGAATTCAGAAATCAATAAAAATGCATAGAACTTTTGAGATGTGTATATTCTGCCATTTACTCCAAGACTCCTGACAAGAGTTTCGCTGTCCAGCTATGATCCAGCCATCATTCCCTTGGAATATTAACTATTTCAGCAACAGCTACATCTAGGCAGCCCTTTTGGGTTATCATGTAGATACATGAAAGTTGTCAAAATTGTTTGCTAATCAGGATTTTTAGACTTACAAATGATGGCTTTTCATTATGAGATACTCTCCTGGGTATGTAGGGCAATAACGTTACTGTTTACTTGCCGCAAGAAGAGTGGAAAGAAGGAGAAATTCTAGTAAGATAAATAGTTTGTATATAAGATGTGATGTTTACTTGGATCTGAACTACAATAGAAAGGAATTCCAGATTTTATGGTGTTTTAATACCACTGCAAATTTCATTTTTTGTATAAAGGCACTGGAACACAATATAAAAACATAGGAACACTTTGGTTCTAAAGCATAATAGAGGATGTGTTGGGATACTTTTTAATAAAGGGTAACTGGGAGAAAGATGTCTTAAATTCATTGCCTCATCTGTGTATTCCGCTTTTACGTATTTGGAAAAAGACCTGCTCCTAGTATTGTAACTATTTTGGAACATAGTGTTGATTTTCTGTGCTCAGTAGTGCTCATGCAGGGCCTCTCAGGGGAAAGTGGATGTTATAATGGGGGCACTGTTGTCAGGTGAGTCCGTCAGCTGCTGCGGGTTTTGTACGTACGTGTTGTTCAGTAGGCAAAATGGCAGAAGTGATTGATTCTGGAGGAAGTTGTGTGCTATCCAGAAAACGAGATTACTTGTATAACGTGCTTGGTTTTGCTCTGTGAAAGTCTCAGTTATAAGGAGGAGCAGGGGAGTAATGAGAAGAAAGAGGTTTCTATTGTCTCTTTCTTTTCTTTTTTTTTGGGGGGAGTGGGGTGTGATATATGCTTTTGGAGGTAAAATACAGAACAGTTATTCTGTAGTTCCCTGTTACTCAAAACGCAGCCATGGAAGTTGAGTACAACCTTTGAGACACTAAATACCTTACAGCAGAGAAAAAAACTGTCAGGAAACATTCTTCCAATAGTTGTTCTTATTTAGCACCCGTGGTGTAAAAACTAGCAAAGAACACTTTTATTCCTCCCCTTCCCCCACCCCCTTGCCATGTAAGCTTATTTAGTGTTTAGTAAATTATCCTTTTCCTTATGGTTTTACTACAGACTGTCAAATTAATCCTTTGGGTTGTACCTAACTAGGTATCAAGGGGTTGTGGAAGTCTAATTTTCTAATTTTATGTTGATAGAAAGCAAAGGAAGAAGTTGCTTTGGATGAGACTTCTGCTTTAATACAGGAGACTGCATTTAACTACCCTCTGTGTAATCGGAAAATAATTGACCCTGTCGAATTAAAAATGATCAATTTGACCTGTGTCTACAGACTGAGCTTTCCAGTCATCCTGCCATGAGGGAATAGTAGATGTAGAAGAAAGCAGGTTCTTGCTTGTTGAAGAATTACAGAACTAACAGAGAGGGGATTTCATTGTTGTCTTGCCTCCCATCCTTTTTGTACTGTTGGGCATTGATAACGTAAGAAAATGAGTTTTTTAAGAAAAACAAAAAGGTGTGTTTAAGAAAAAAGGAAAGCAACCTTTTAGAAGTCCCTTTCTTGATTTGCTGCTTAACTTTTGCTCAGGTTTCATATAGGTAGATAATTTTCCTGCTACCTATATAATCCTTGGAAGCTTTCAATTAGTGCAGACTCCATCATGACTGAAATGAAGCTTTAAATCATATCTGTGGCTGCAGATATATTTTTATTTTAATATGTTAGAGTCTAAAGGATCAGCTGGGACTTCCACATCTGAAAATCTGACTCTTCTAAATGT